TTGTTTATTGCATAACATTTAAATTAGATATACAAATATTAAATGTATAAGATATGAAAATCACTATTTTTTATATTAGATTTATTTGGTTCATACATCTCTTGGCATATGAACTTCTACTACAGCTTCTGTTACTAACTGTTCTGCCATAACAGAAACTGCTGGGGCATGCCTCTGATGATTTATGTTATCTATAAATTATCATAAATATGAGATTTTTAGAAAATACACTATAAAGCATTTGAAATCTTACCTGCACATTCTTTATTACAGTCTAATAATTTTTGCCTTTCATAAAATTGTTTTATAGTAAGTTCTATAATAATATAACCAAATATCCAATATCCAAGGCAACTTCCCAGCACAATAGCGATATTGATATATACATTATATGTCATAACAGCTAACATTAAAAGGTAGCCAAGAAATGTATGTATAAACCAATGAAATACTTGGAAACTCCATGCAAACCAGCGTATACTAACAAAATAACATGTAGTATTAAGTTGTGATAAGATTATTTTTTTACTTTAATAAATTCAGAAATATAATACCAATGTAAGGAAAGTTGTGTTCTTATAGACTTTGATGATATTGTAGATAATAAACAAGAATTCTCTGATACTCTTGGGCTTTGTTTTTGTGTAAAAATTACAGTATTTTGCTGTAACTTAATTTGTAAGACTTTCATACCCTCATATAAAATTGCAAGTATAAGTAAACTTAAACAGGTGCAAAAAAAACTTGAAGTTGTAACAACATTGTACCCTGGTAAAAGAAAATCACCTAAATTGTTTCCAAACCAAAACCACATATGCATCTATAAGCAAATAAATTGATACTTAATACAAGGATTGAAAAAATAATTCTTTGAGGTTATACATACCATAATTAATTTTAATCTTTATTCATATACAGCGAAATTAACGATAATTATTCAAACTGATAAGGATTGTACATATAATTCTCTTGTACATTCTGAACTCCACCTAGCTTTACCTAATTGTTCATTACTGACTGAACTGTACATTATTTACAGCTACTTGAAACGTAATAAAAATATATCCTAACATTATATAAGTATTTAAAGCGTTTTCTATTAATTTATATTTTATCATTTTATTCTACAGGTATATTATACGCAATAATCACATTAAGTAAAATTTGACATTGTTTTTTCAAGAATATACACATATAAAGTACGCAATGCTTTATAAAACTCTACACTTATATTATACATTTACACAAATGTGAATAACCATTATTTAAACTAATGTAAAAATACACACTACATTACAGAAACGGCATCTCTAGTGAACTTGTCAACCTTGCGTTGTTTGAAGTTGCTAGGAGACAAAATCACGTGATATTAATTTACGTGCGTATCAGTTTTAAATTCTTTTGATTGTCAAAAAAGTTTCTTTCGAATTCAAAAAAGGAGAAAAAGATGCTGTGACTTAACAACTGTGTTGTTTTTAATGAAATATAATACTAAAGTATAAGAAATTTGTGACTAAAATAGTGTATCTGAAATACATCGATCGTTCATTGGCTAATGAAGTAGACGAAAGTTTGTTTATGAAAATTTTGTAATAATTTAGCTAAGATCATTATTTCGTTAATGTTCATGTAAAAGATTACGAAATTTAACTAGTATAGTAGAAAAAAAATTTCTAGTAAGAAACGTTTGAGTAAATTAGCAATATTTATAAAAAGGAGCCGGAAGGTGGCGGATAGGATAAACCACGACAGCGCTATCTACATCGTTGGGACGAGCAAGCGTGGCTAATCAAAGCACCAAAAGGTAAGCCGTAAAGGCTGTTTATTTTTGGGTTTTCATTCGTCCTAGAAGGTTTTTTCTCGAGTAATGTGCTTCCTGGTCGCGTCGGACTGTACATCGTGTTTGAAAATCAGTTGACGAAGCAGCAATGACCACGGAAACGTAGGTGAACTGCCGGACAGGCTGTAACGTCGAGCATCTTGCCTAGTAAAGTGAAAACTCCATTTGCCCCCTCACTCTGAACTCCCCATACCTAGCCTTTCGTTGGCGCCTTTCTAACCAATTGCCAGGCGTGCACTAAGCACCGACGTCGTATGTACGTGTGCATAATATACGGAGAATCGAGAACTTTTTTGCGCACGTACCTTTACGCATTACATATGAATCCTGCGCTCTTTTAACGCGGTGATCATCTCTGCTCCATATAGTGATATAAGAATATTTCTATCATTTTTTTACCTACAGGAAAATGAGCAGTTCTGAGGAGGTATCCTGGATTTCGTGGTTTTGTAATCTTAGGGGCAATGAATTTTTTTGTGAGGTAAGTATGTTCACTATTATTATGTTTCGTAGTATTGTTTTTACCTATTGGAACCTGTATCATTTTTTTGAGGTTAAAAATTTTGATGTTGATTGCTTAAAACAAACATTATCATAATTCTATATAAAGAGTTGTTTCCATACAATGTTACACGATATTTAAGTTTCAAAATTGAATAATTGTATAACTAAAACTTCATATGCTTTATACAGTGCAAATGTTAATACAAATGTTTTACAGGTTGATGAAGATTACATTCAGGATAAGTTTAATTTAACTGGACTGAACGAGCAAGTACCACATTATAGGCAAGCATTAGATATGATTCTTGATCTTGAACCTGGTAAATATATCATTTTCTCCATGCCAGAAAATATCAAAGTACGTTTAAGCGGTTTTATTTTCTATAGATGATGAATTAGATGGTCATCCAAATCAGTCTGAATTAATTGAACAGGCAGCAGAATTACTTTTTGGACTGATTCATGCACGTTATATTCTTACTAATCGTGGTATTGCTCAGATGATTGAAAAGTATCAAGCTGGTGACTTTGGTCATTGCCCACGTGTGTATTGTGAATCCCAACCCATGTTGCCATTGGGTCTTAGTGATGTTCCTGGAGAAGCAATGGTAAAAAGTTATTGCCCTAAATGTATGGATGTATATACACCAAAAAGCTCCCGGCATCATCACACTGATGGAGCATACTTTGGAACAGGATTTCCTCATATGCTTTTCATGGTTCATCCAGAGTATAGACCCAAACGTCCAATAAATCAATTTGTACCTAGGTAAGATCATGAAAAAATTTTTACTTCAAGAGCTTTGAAAAATTTACATGGAAATTTATTTGATTGTAAAGTAACAGTAGATTTATGTCTGCTAAACTTACATAAAAAAAGAAATAATGTATTTGCAGGTTATATGGCTTTAAAATTCATCATCTAGCATATCAGTTCCAACAACAGTCTGCATCAACATTTAAAACACCATTGCGAGCTGTTAATTATAATAATGGGAAACGTTAAGAACATTGCAACATAGTCTAGAACATTTATTCATTATTCAAAATACAATTCCTAATTTCGTCCCTAAGGATTAAATAAAATATTATTTTTTATATTGATCTTTACACATCTTAGCAAGGCGCTGAAATACCAGTTGTTTTGTTTAATCATTTATTAATTGCGAGATGCAACACTCGATGCTTTTCGGATTTTTTCCACGGTATTTATAGTGTACCGAAAAGATTTAAGAGTGAAGTACCAAATTATTAATGTTCACCAAGCGCCATGCTCATTTTTATTTCAGCTTTAGTAACAATTTTCTTTTGTGTTGAAAATCACATTTGTATCGTTACATCAAATCTGGTCGATTGGAACAAAAATTAAATGCATACATAAGATAATTACTAGGGTGTAAGGATGCAGATGAGAATTACGATAGAATATATCTGTTTAGATGTTTTGCATCTCCACGATTGCTGCCTAGTAGTTCCTACACGCAGGACAGATCATACATGAAGATCGATCGCGAAATAAAGGAGCGAGTAGCAACGGATAATGATTGATTTTTAAAAGAAACAAAACGATACATAAATTGATAATTTGTTAAATATAATTTAATTTAAATGTGAATTAAGCTGCGGAAAAGCAATTTATTTATACATGATTTATCTTAATAAAATACTAAGCTCAGATAAGCAACGCATGAAACAAATTTAAAACTAAAGACTGCATACAATTCTGTAAAACCTTGTTTTCTATTGCAGTTCTTTAAAAGCGTATATGCAACGTTTAGTAACCAGAAACAAAATTCCATACATTTTCTGAATATGATATGTATTTAACATAAGCAGTGCATGTTTTAATATAGGAAGGTAAAATCATTAATACAATTGTTTATCTTATTCTGATTATTACAACTGTTCAAAAATGTTATTTGTATCAAAACAAATAAGTTATGTATTTTTAAACTAGCAAGTTTTTTAACAAGTATTGTATTTAAACTAAATTAAAATTAAAATTATTTAATAGTAAGTTGCATAAGAAGTGATGAAGGACAATATTTCCCATTATATTATGTATTCTGAAGATTTTAGATAAGTACATTCTCGCATTTTGTCAATGTCGATTTTCAACATTGTACATTATTCTCTTTTAATGGTAGCATAAAAAATTGGAAATTATTGCAAAAGATAAAATTTCCAGAAAACTACTTTTTACACTTTCAGTCAAATGAAATTTATTCGTAAAATGTAAGCATTTATAATGTTCAAAAAGTATATGTTAGTAAGTGAATTGTATTTTATGTTAAAATCAGTAATTGTTTCAATCATTTATTATATATCGTACACTGAATTTACTATCAAATATTAATATAAGTCATTGTAATATAACATAACAAACTGTAATATGTCATTATGTA